CCCTCCAGGGTCAGGGTGAGGGTGGGGGCAGAGGTGGCCTTGAGCTTCTTCCCAGGCTCACTCTACCTCCTTTGGTGGATTGTCTGAGGACACTCTCGGCTCTCCTCCTAGGAGGACAACTGGACGAGGAGGCTCCTCGTTTCAAGCTGGGCCTTGTGGAAGAGCTGGAGAGTCCTGAGGCTATGGTGAGCCTCCACCTCCCTGCCCTCCTCCATCCCTCCTCTCCGGCTTCCCCTCTATGATCTCACTGAGCACCCTCCTCCTACTTGAATCCCTGGCCCCCTGACTACTCTGGACCCTGCACCTTCTTGGGGTGGGAGGAAGGGCACAGCACGTGGTCCACCAAGGTCGTGAGAGGGGGAAGGGCTACCTTCTGCATCTCTCCCTCCTTGTGTCCTAAGTGTTCCCCCCACAAAAACACATGCACCTGTTGCCTGCAGCTGGAAGAACACAAATGTAGCTGCCAGCAACTGGCTCCCCGGGCAGCTCCATCCCAGGAGGAGCCACAGAGGGAGCCTCTCTCCTCTGGGACCAAGAGTGACTACAAGTGTGGGGAGAGCCACCAGGGACTACAGGAGGCCATGGAGAAGCTGAAGGTGAGTGAGTTTCCCCTAACATGGGCCATTGAATGGTGGGCATGGTGCAGGTCACTGCTGAGACCTGACCTGTTCCCGGGGCTCCAGAGCCGCTTTCTGCAGGTCATGGAGGAGAAGGCGGCCCTGCAGGAGCGAGTGGACACATTAGAACACTGCTGTCTACTGCTCTCTGAAGAAACCGAGACCATTGGTGAGCTGAGATGCCAGGGCCAATGGTCAGCAAGCTGTGGGTGTGTGGGGGAAGCACCTGTGCCCTGTCCTCACACCAGCCCACTGGCCCTCGATCCCTACAGGAGCCTACATTGCCCTGTACCAGAGGCAGAGTGCGGTACTTAAAGAGCGTTATAGGGAGAAGGACGAGTTCATCCATCAGCTGGTGCAGGACAACGAGAAGTTGAAGGTGGGGCCATGAGCTTCTCTGCAGGCAGGGCAGGGCCTGGTCCAGAGTAGGAGCAGGGCACTGAGCACTTTCTCTGTGGGTGGGTTAGGGATGGTGCACTGGGGACCTCTGAGGGAGCCTGCGGGTACTGGTCCCAGGTATGGCCAGGGTAGGGGAGGAGCACTGAGCACCTTTTGCTCCAGGTAGAGCTGCTGGAGCTACAGGGTCAGGTGCTGTGGCTTGTGGACAAACAAAAGGAGCGGCAGGGCAAGTTCCGGTCCACCACTCAGAGCCCTGCAGAGGAGCTTGTTCCAGGTCTGCCCATGTCGCAGGAGTTCAGCACTGCTGACCAGCTGGGTGGTGAGTAGCACCCTGGGCCTGGTGCGTTGGGAAGGCAGCAGGCATTGTGAGGGTGCCTAGAACTGAGCCTGTCCCTCTGTCTTCACAGCCTGTCGGGACGTCAGCCTCACTGACAACATTCAGCCTGGACAAGGAAAAGCTGGGATGGGATGTACTACTGGGAACACCACCACCCAGCCGATCACGCAGCTGCCACAGGAGATCCAGAACCCGCAGGAGCTAGCTGACATCGATAGCAAACCCTGCCTCCCCTTCTTCTACCGGGCTGGTGGGAACAACCAGGTCAAGATCCTGGTTGTCTAAGCCTCATACCACCATGCTAAGCCTCACACCATCAGGCCAAACCTGATACCACCAGAACAAGCCTCATGCCACCAGGTTAAGACTCATACTAGCAGTCCAAGCCTCGAACCAGCAGCCCAAGCCTCATACCAGCAGGCTAAACTTCATTTACACTACCAGGTCAAGCCTCACACCATCAGGCAAAGCCTCACTTCAGCAGTCCAAGCCTCATACCACCAGGCAAAGCCTCACACCACCAAGCCAAATCTCACAACAGCCGGCCAAGCCTCACACCACCAGGCAAAGCCTTACACTACCAGGCCAAGCCTCACAACAGCAGGCCAGGCCTCATTCCACAAGGCCCAGCCTCACAGCAGCAGGCCAAGCCTCACACCAGCAGACCAAACCTCACAGGCCAAGCCTCACACCAGCAGGCCAAGTCTCAAACCAGTAGGCCAAGCCTCATGCCACCAGGCTAAGCCTCCTGCCAGCAAGTCAAGCTTCAAGTCAGCGGCCAAGCCTCACATTAGCAGGCTAAGCCTCACACTACAAGGCCAAGCCTCCCACGACTAGGCAACACCTCACACCAACAAGCAAAACCTCACACCAGCAGGCCAAACTCAAACCAGCAGACTAACCCTTACTCAACAAAACCAAGCCTTACACTACAAGGCGAAGCCACACACCAGCAGGCCAAGCCTCAAGCCAGCATGCTAAGCCTCATGCCAGCAGGCTAAGACTGTCACTACTAGGCCAAGCCTCACACAGCAGGCAAAGCCTCACACCAGCAGGCTAAGCCTTACACTATAAAACCAAGCCTTACACTATAAGGCCAAGCCTTACACCAGCAGGCCAATCCTCAAGCCAGGACCCAAACCTCAATCCAGCAGGCCAAGCCTCACACCATCAGGATAAGCCTCACCCCACCAGGATAAGCCTCAAGCCCACAGGCTAAGCCTCATGCTTCCAGCCCAAGCCTCACCCCAGTAGGCTAAGCCTCACACCAGGAGGCTAAGCGTCTACCACCAGGCAAAGCCTCACATCAGCAGGCAAAGCCTCATACCAGGAGGCCAAGCCTCAAACCCAAAGGCCAATCCTCACACTACCAGGCCAATTCTCAAACCCTCAGGCAAAGCCTCAAACCACCATGAAAAGCCTCATGTCAGCAGGCCAAGACTCAAACCAGCAGGCCAAGACACATACTAGCAGGCTAAGACTCATACCAGAAGGCTAAGCCTCTCACTACCAGGCCAAGCCTTAGTGAGGCTACCTACCAGAAAGCTAAGCCTCCATCCACAATGCTAAGCCTCACACCACCAGGCCAAGCCTTGCCTCACACCACCAGGCTAAGTTTCACAATAGCAGGCCAAGCATCAATCCAGCAAGCAGGTCAAGCCTTACGCCAGCAGGCAAAGCCTCAAGCCAGCAGGGTAAGCCTCAAGTCAGCAGGGTGAGCCTCATGCCAGCAGGCTAAGACTGACACTATGAGGCCGAGCCTCACTCCAGCAGTCCAAACCTCATACCACCAGGCCAAGCCTCACACCACCAGGCCAAGCCTCATACCTGAAGGCTAAGGCTTACACTAAAAGGCCAAGCCTCACACTACAAGGCCAAGCTTCACACCAGCAGGCCATTCCTCAAAATGGGAGGGCAAGCCTCAAACCAGCAGTCCACGCTTCATGCCAGCAGAACATGCCTCAAGTCAGTAGGGTAAGCCTCAAGCCAGCAGGCTAAACCTGACATTACGAGGTCAAGCCTCTCACCAGCAGGCCAAGCCTCACACCAGTCAGCCAAGCTTCACAGCAGCAGGAAAACATGCCACTAGAATAAGCCTCACACCACCAGGCTAAGTCTCACAATAGAAGGCCAAGCATCAAACCAGTAGGCCAAGCCTCATGCCAGCAGGCTAAGCCTCATGCCAGCAGGCTAAGCCAAATACTACAAGACCAAGACTCACACCAGAAGGTCAATCTTCAAATCAGGACCCAAGCATCAAAATAGCAGGCCAAGCCTCAGGCCAGGAAGCCAAGCCTCACACCAGCAGGCCAAGCCTCACACCAGGAGGCCAGCGCACAAAATCGGTAGGTCTCAAACCAGCAGGCGAAGCCTCACACTAGAGGTCAAGCATCCTGCCACCAGGCCAAGCCTCATGCTACCAGCCCAAGCCTCATGCCAGAAGGCCAAGTCTCATGCCAGAAGGCCAAGATTCAAACAAACAGGCCAAGCCTCACAGCAGTAGGCAAAGCTTCACACCAGCAGGACAACACTCACGTCACCAGGATAACCTCAGGCCAGCAGTCCAAGTCTCTCACAAGCAAGACAAGCCTCACATCACAAGGCTAAGCCTCGCACCAGCAGGCAAGCCTCCAACTAGAAGGCCAAGTATCACACGAGCAGGTCAAGCTTTGTACTAGTAGGACAAGCCTCACTCCACCAGGATAAGACTCACCCCAACAGAAAAAGCCTCAAGTCAGCAGGCTAAGCCTCACGCTTCTGGGCCAAGACTCACACCAGCAGGCCAAGCCTCACTCCACGAGACTAAGCCTCACATCACCTGACCAAGCCTCACACCAGCAGGCTAAGCCTCACAATACAAGGCCAAGCCTCACATCAGCAGGCCAATCCTTAATCCAGGAGGGTAAGCCTCAAACCAGCAGGCCATGCTTCATGCCAGCAAAACAAGCCTCAAGCAAGCAGGCTAAGCCTCACACCAGGAGGCTAAGCCTCATTCCATGAGGCTAAGCCTTTACCACCAGGCCAAGACACACACCAACAGGCCATGCCTCACACTAGCAGGCATGCTCACACCAGGAGGCCAAGCCTCAAACCCGAAGGCCAAGCCTCACACTACGAAGCCAAGCCTAAAACCAGCAGACCAAGCCTGAACCTGGCAGGCAAAACCCCCCCCCACCAGGAGAAGCCTCACGTCAGCAGGCCAAGAATCAAACCAGTAGGCCAAGACTCATACTAGCAGGCTAAGCTTCATACCAGGAGGCTCAGCCTCTAACTACCATGCCAAACCTTAAACCAGAATGCTAATCCTCCATCCACAATGCTAAGCCTCACACCACCAGGCTAAGTCTCATAATAGCAGGCCAAGCATCAAATAGCAGGCGAAGCCTCAAGCCAGCAGGCTAAACTTCTTGCCAGCAGGCTATGACACTACCAGGCCAAGCCTCACACCAGCAGGAAAAGCCTCACTCCAGCAGTCCAAGCCTCATACCACCAGGCAAAGCCTCACACCACCAGGCTAAGCCTCCTAACAGCAGACCAAACCTCGCAACAGTAGGCCAAGCCTTACGCCACCAGGACAAGCCTCATGACACCAGGCTAAGCCTGCTGCCAACAGGCCAAACCTCAAGCCAGCAGGTCAAGCCTCAAGCCAGCAGGCTAAGCCTCACACTACAAGGCCAATCCTCACATCAGCAGGCTAAGCCTTACACTGCAAGGCCAAACCTCACACTACCAGGCCAAGCCTAAAACTAGCAGGCCAAGCCTCAAACCCATAGGCAAAGCCTCACACCACTGGGAGAAGCCTTATGCCAGTAGGTCAAGACTCAAACTAGCAGGCCAAGACTCATACCAGCAAGCTAAGACTCATACCAGAAGACTAAGCCTCTACCAGGCCAATATTACACAGGCCAAGACTCAAACAGTAGGCTAAGACTCATACCAGCAGGCTATGACTCATACCAGAAGACCAAGCCTCTTACTACCAGACCAATATTACACCAGAAAGCTAAACCTCCATCCACAAACCTGAGCCTCACACCACCAGGCCAAGCCTCACTTCACACCACCAGGCTAAGTTTCACAATAGCAGGCCAAGCATCAAACTACCAGGCCAAGCCTCACACCAGCAGGCAATTCCTCACTACAGCAGTCCAAGTCTCACACCAGTAAGCCAAGCCTCAAACCAGCAGCCTAAGCCTCAAAACAGCAGGCCAACTCTCACACGAAGATGCCAAGCCTCACACTACCAAGCGAAGTCTCACAACACCAGGCCAAGCTTCACGCCAGCAGGCCAAGCCTAATGCCAGCAGGCCAAGCCTCAAGTCAGCAGTCCAAGCCTCAAAACAGCAGGCCAAGCCTCAAGTTAGCAGTCCAAGCCTCAAAACAGCAGGCCAAGCGTCACACCAGCAGGCTAAGCCTCATATCAGCAGGCCAAGCCCCATGCCACCAAGCCAAGGCTCATGCCAGCAAGCCAAGCCTGCTGGTGTGATGCTTGACCTGCCGGTGTGAGGTTTTGCCTGGTGGCGTGAGGAGTCTTATCCTTCTGGTGTGAGGCTTGGCCTGCTGGTTTGAGGCTTGGACTGCTGGCTTTTGGCTTGGCCTTCTGGCCTCAGGCTCAGCCTGATTGCGTTAGGCTCGGTCTGTTGATACGAGACTCGGCCTGTTGTTTCAGGCTCGGCCTGCGCTGGTGTGATGCTTGACCTGCCGGTGTGAGGCTTTGCCTGGTGGTGTGAGGAGGCTTATCCTTCTGGTGTGAGGCTTAGCTTGCTGGTGTTAGGCTCAGCCTGGTGAAGTGAGGCTTAGCCTGCTGGTATGAGTCTTAGCTTGCTCTTTTAAGGCTTATCCTGGTGGAGTGGATGTGTCCTGGTGGTGTGAGGCTTGTCCTGGTAGTGTGAGGATGGCCTTCTGGCAGGAGAAGCCTTAAACCAGTTGACCAAAACTCACATCAACAGGCCAAGCCTCAAACCAGCAGGCAAAGACTAACACCATCAGGCCAAGACTCACACCATAGGTAAAGCCTCAAGTCATCAGGCCAAGCCTCACACCAGCCAGCCAAGCCTCACACCATCAGGCCAAGCCTCACACCATCAGGCCAAGCCTCACGCCAGCGAGCCAAAACTCATGCCAGCAGGCCGAGACTCACACCAGCAGGTGAAGACTCAAGCCAGTAGGCAAAGCTTAACACCAGCAGGCTAACCATCATACCAGGAGGACAAGGCTCATGCCACCCTGACAAGCCCCACTCCACCAGGATAAGCCTGAAAACAGCAGGCTAAGATTCATACCAGCAGGCTAAGCCTCACTTCACCAGGCTGAGCCTAACACCAGTAGGCCGAGCCTCAAACAACAGGCTGAGCCTCATGCCACCAGGCTGAGACGCACACCAGGAGGCCAAGCCTCAAGCCAGTAGTCCACACCAAAAACAAGCAGACCGGGTCTCACACCAGCAGGCTGAGCCTCAAACGACAGGTCGAGAAGCACATCGAAAGGCCGAGACTCACGCCACCAGGTCATCCTCATGCCAGCAGGCCAAGCCTCAAGCCAGCAGTCCAAGCCTCAGAACAGCAGGTGAAGCATCACACCATGAGGCCAAGCCTCATACCACAGGGCCAAACCTCACAACACCAGGCCAAGCCAAAGCAGAGGAAGCTTTCTGAACAAATAGTGAAATTCA